GCATTACAGCTCACAGCAACCTCCAACTCCTGGGCTCAAGCGAGTCTCCTGCCTCCGCCTCCCAAGTAGCTGGGACCACAGGCACCCGCCACAATGCCTGGCTATTTTTTGGTTGCTGACGTCATTGTTGTTTGGGGGGTCCGGGCTGGGGATTCGAACCCGCCACCTTAGGTGTACGTGGCTGGCGCCCTAGCCGGCTGAGCTACAGGCGCCGAGCCCAGGAGGATTTCTTGATGACAGGAGTTTGAGATCAGCCTGAGCAACACAGCAAAACTCCATTTCTACAAAAAATAGAAAAATTAGCCAGGCGTTGTAGCACACGCCTATAGTCCCAATAGCCCAAGAATGAGGTTACAGTGAGCTATGATAATGCCACTGTACTCTAGCCTGTGTGACAGAGTGAGATTCTGCCTCAACAAAACAAAACAAAGCACCCCCAGAAAGGTGAATCCAGAAATTGACCCCAATGTACATGGGAAAAATCAAGTGTCTGAATAAAATTGTGGCCTTCAATACACCTAGAAGAACCAAGACCTCTATTTCACACCATATCTAAAAAGAATCTAGATGATTAAATATAAAAAATCATGGGCAGTGCTGTGGCTCAAAGGAGTAGGGCGCCGGCCCCATATGCCAGAAGTGGTGGGTTCAAACCCAGCCCCAGCCAAAAACTGCCAAAAAAAAAAAAAGAATCATGAGAACATTAATCAGAATGTATGTATAACCCATGAATCAGGGAGCTCTTAAAAAACTAAACAGGCTTAAAAAATAAAATACTGGGTGAAGTGGCTCATGCCTATAATCCTAGTACTCTGGGAGGCTGAGGCAGGTGGATTGCCTGAGGTCAGGAGTTTGAGACCAGCCTGAGCCACAGTGAGACCCCATTGCTACTAAAAATAGAAATAGAAAAAATAGCCAAGCATAGTGGTGCCTGCCTATAGTCCCAGCTACTTGGGAGGCTGAGGTAAGAGGATTGCTTGAGCCCAAGAGTTTAAGGTTGCTGTGAGCTATGATGCCACAGCAGTCTACCAAGAGCAATAAAGTAAAACTCTATTTCAAAAAAAAAAATTAAATAAATAAAATAAAATAAAAGCCAGGCACTGTGGTATATACCTGTAGTCCCAGCTACTTGAGGCAAGAGGATCACTTGAGCTCAAGAGTTTGAGGTTGCTGTGAGCTATGACAACACACACTCTACCAAGGGTGACAAAGTGAGACTCTGTCCCCCCACCAAAAAATTACCCAGGCATAGTGATGTGCATCTGTAGTCCCAGCTACGTGGGAGGCTAAGGCAGGAGGATTGCTTAAGCCCAAGAGTTGGAGGCTGCAACGAGCTATGATGATATCACCGCACTCCAGCCCAGGCAACAGTCAGAAAAAAAAAAAAAAAAAAAAGAATAAGGTGGCCAGTACAGTGGCTCATGCCTATAATCCTAGCACTCTGGGAGGCCAAGGCAGGTAGATTGCCTGAGCTCACAGGTTTCAGGCCAGCCTGAGTCAGAGTGAGACCTCATCTCTAAAAATAGCTAGGCATTGTGGTGGGCACCTATAGTCCTAGCTACTCAGGAGGCTGAGGCAAGAGAATTGCTTGAGCCCAAGAATTTGAGGTTGCTGTGAGCTATGACACCAGGAGGACAACTAAGTGAGACTCTGTCTCAAT